GTATTTCTACATTAAGGTAATACACGAACTTCTGATCATTCAATTAGCTTGGATAATAGGAGGCGCTACATATACACAAATATTAGGATTTATCTTTCATTCCTTTGGGATGTTTAAACTTGCTAGGTGATTGACGATCGGATTATTTTAATTATTCGACGCGTAATTGCTTCCGCCGATTTGATTACGAACTACAAAAAGTGTGTCATTTGCAGACATAGAATACGACACTCTATCGAGAACTGTGCGTGGTTTGTACCTTCTTCAGAGAAAGATCGCGCTGTTTGCAACGCAATAATGTATGCCACAATTGCACATCGTAGAGCTATAAAGTTAGTATATTTATCGCAGTTTTGTGTTTATTTGTTTAATAATGTGTCAATAATTTTTGTATTTGATGGTAAAGGTTTTCCAATTACGTAATAGCGTCAATTAATACACTTTATAGCGTCGTACTTATCATCTCTGTAATGGCGTTGGTTACCGATTTGTACGGAGTGAGTTTTTTTATATTGTCAGAAATATGCGAAAATGAATTATATACATGCAATTGTGCATGTGTGTAATCGATTGAATATCTCATAATTATGAGATATAAAATTGATCAGTGTCGCTAATTTCCGTTTTTTTTTTCTTTTTTTTATCTAGGTTTGTGATGCACTAACGATATCACAAGATGTGAAAGTATTACTGCAGTCCTGTGTATTTGGAATCGGCCTTTTACTTTGTATATTTATCAGTCTTTATCTCGGAGAAAAACTTACGGAGTACAATAACGATCTGGCGATATATGTGTAAGTACTTTTAAATATCACGCGAATGTTTGCATGGCGCATTGACTTTTTTGACGGAGAATTTTTATTCCTATTTCAGATACAACACGTCGTGGTATTTAATGTCAGTGTCGTCGCAAAAGCTTGTGTTGTTTCTAATACAGAACATTGGCAAAGAGTTCACAGTAACGATCGGTTATATTTTGGAGGGAAAGATCGAAAATTTTGTCATGGTAAGAAGTAGAATAAAACCAAAACACACGGCAATAAAGTCTTACAAGTTTTTATATACGTTACACACGTTATTTGTATATACGTTAAATAATTTTTCAGATCATCAAAGCTGCGATGTCATATGTCACCGTTTTGTACAATATGTACAATAATTAGGAATGAATTTCTAAAATCTGATTATAGTGTCGAATGCACTTTAAGTTGTTTTCTTTCTTTTTACAGTTTTGCGTTTCATAGTTTTACTTCGTACACATCGATTGTCTAATTTTAATGCAAGAAGTTTTTAAATGAATCGAAGAGCTCCTTGTCGAACAGATGGAGTAATTTAACTGATCTATTTTTATCTTATAAATGATACATTTTTTTTTTTTGTATCCGGCTCTGAAGAATCATTGTGTATGTACAAAATAAGATACATGTAAAAGCAAATGGATCTGAGTAACTACAACAATTTTTCAATGTATTGTAAATTATTGTTTAACAGTTTTTTTCCGTATTAAAAAAAGTTGTCTTTTAACTCGCACACACAACAATCACACACCCAATCATTTATTTCGTAGGAATATATGTGTAAAAGAAATATATTACTTCCGCACTCGCCGGCAAAGTGACTTTTCACAGCCATTGAATCTGATTAAGTTAATGGGCCGATAACTGGTTAATAGATCCGATACCGGTTGGAGTCTTAATCTACTAATTGCAGAGCATTAATGATTTGTATATGAAGTTGTTACTTTTCAGTGTTATCATGTTACTGATGGTTATTGGTGCGACTTTGTGTGTGAGAGCACAAACGCTTGTTCCACCCGCGAACCAACTTCTGCCAATAAAAGAGCAAAGGTGGAAAAAAAGATACACGCGGTAAGATGTATATTTCGTAATTTTGCAGATAAGTCGGGTCACTATACGACGGTATTACAAGGCCATTAGCGTCTAATGATGACATAGAGCCCGGATTATGGTAGCACGAGCGAGAGATATCGGCAGTAAATGTCGGTGCTCGATAATTATTAGCCGCACAGGTGACGCGTCGCCGCGAGTGACATATTGCCGATGAAATGTCACTCCTCGGGATTTTGTGTTGCACTTTGTATGCATTATTCGCGGCACGTGTAGGTAGGATAGCGATTTTCTCAATTGCCTGTCACGCACAGAACTCGCTCTAGATTGTAACGCGAAAACATTCGCGATTATTTCGATTTGATTTAAATATGAACTTCTTTTTTTGTACATAAATCTTTTACACAAAAATACGTTTCATAATTTTTTGCAAAGAATGAAACATTGTTTCTAATAGAAAAGTAACTTCTGTCGAACTTGATAAACGCAAATCATTTCGCGCGATATCTTTAGCATCGATTAAGTCAATATACGTCTGAGCGGCTAAACAAGAAGTGTATTAGATTGTTAATTATCAGTTGTCAACAGGAGACAAATTAATCGAGTACACGCTCGCAACACGCCGCGCGCTAGTAACAAGATCTTATACAAAACGAACAATCACAACAATTGCTCATAGATCGGAACTTCTTTTCGTTGCTTGTTTTTTTTCTTTCTGAATGTCTCAAGGATCGCGTTCCCGTTTTAACTCAAGTGTGTTCACTTATGATTCAATCTGAACACGTCAATCTCACGCATTTCGCCTAATTGCAAGTTAACAGAGAGCACTTTGATCACACTTTGAATATCTGTCAAATAAGAAAAGAGGAGCAACGAAACTTGCTTAACCACTTGTCAGCAAACTTTATTGAATGTCAAGCTCAATTAATTCTGCAAACCGCGATTCAAAACGCAATTCCAAGATCTAGAGTCATAGCTGCAATTACAAATTAACTGCCTTGTTATTAAGTCCTGTAAATCATTTCGAGCACTAATATATCTTTGCGGCGCACTTTCTAAAACAAATGTCAACATTATGACGTGATTTTTCTTTCCAGATAATGCGAATCACAACTTACTTGCTGTTCGCATTAATTTAATTGGGGTTATAGCTATAATTGTGTCTCAAATATTCGAAAGTCAATTTGGTAAGTGACAGTCACAACAATTACGACATAAAATAAATGACTCTCATCACACCGAACCGTTCCGATATGCATTTCTTCATGCGAAACGTAAATTATATTTTTTTTTCACTTACATTAATGTTACGTCGCGCAAAAAAGTAGTTTCTGCGGATTGACGCGTCGTACATTTTGTAACGTCGGCGATTCGCAAAAAGCTACAAGTTTTCTTCAGAAATATCACACGAACGCGCGATACGTGTGTACCTTTCGCGTTCTGCGGCTCTTTCTTCGCGCGGATTGCGAAATTAATGCACGTGGCCGTCCGAAACGCGCCCGTGACACTTTTTGTTGCGGATTCGTTTCTGATGCGGCGCCGAGAAGTACACATGTCGTGCGAGAGAGTTTGTTCGCGCGAGAGAAAACGAGGGAGGGAAAAAGAAGCAAACGAGCGCGCGGCTGATTTATGTCTCATTTCGCGAGTCGGCGAGCGAACCGCTCGCTCTCGTGAGTGTGAAACGAATGAATTTCAGACGAAGCCGAGGCGCGCCCCGAAACCGCGCGCGATTAAAGAGCACAATCGCGCCTAGATCATTAATCATCCGCGGAGAGATGAGGCGCGGGAAAAAAAGAATTATAACGAATAGAACGGTTCCGTGGAAACACGTGACCTCTCCCATTATTCTCTTCTCGATTTGTTTGTTTTTTTTTTTTTTTTTCACATACGAAAATTCGATAGAATTCGTCGCTGAGAGAAAGTTCAAATCATCGGAATCGCGGAGAGTTCAATAAAAATCGGCCAAGTGCAAATAAACTGGAAGGATGTTAATGAAGATAACAGTATACGGACATGTGAAACACGTGTTATTAGATCTGCGTAAAAACGACAATCATCAAAATATACATCCTCGATATATTACACACGCGTGATCCGAGATTCAAAGGTTAACAACTCGCAATAACGAACATTAAATTTTACGCGAAGTTTACTGGAATATAAAATAATGAGATAACGTTCGCAGAGAATGCGAAAATTACAACCGAGGTTTTGCGCGCGCGCTCTTTAGTCGAGAGACAAATGGCGCGCGCGGCAACCGAAAAGTTCACGTACACGCGATTGAAGGACGACCGCTTCTGAGCGCGCTTTATTAATCAATTTTGTGTGTCGCGGCGCGTCGCAAAACTCGTTTGTCGTTTTCCTGATGGAGCGCAAAAATATAAATCAACGCGCGCGCTATTGCGCAAACCCTTCTCGCTCGTAGCTACGTACACGAGAAGGAAACACTTTGTTTCTTGTCAAGCCGAGTACTTATTTTCTGGTTAATCGATTCATCGATCAACAACATCCCGGTTATAATTAAAATTTATCACGTACACAAAGCAACGTTACGCGTGATACATAATTGCAACGTATAAGGGAATTAAAAATATTATGCAATTTAACGAGTTTTCGAACCGAAATGCAAAGTCACTTTCACGAAATTCTCTCAATTTGTTGAATTGGCGCTACAAGTGATTGTAATTTATTGCAATTATTAATTAAGTTTCTTACGCATACCTCGGGGTTTTTATTCCGAACTACCGACACGTGTATTTTGCGTCGCAAAACACACGAGAGAGATGAATATCGAGATAATATATCGAAACTCGATTCGAGTGTGCAAAATGCAAAACATTTCTCGAATATATATTCGCCATTTTTTCCGCTTTTTGTCAGAAATGTATGTTAATAACGAACATATAAATTACTTACGACGAGAGTGGTAGTCTGGACGATGTACTAGACGGTAGCAGTTCCGACATTCTGAAAGTGCGTTCAGAATTCACTTAATGCTTCTACTTTCGTGAAATAATTGCAAGATTATTGCCCGATATATTCTCTCAATCGACGTTTCCTTCTCTCTCGAGCGAAATAAAAACCCGCAAGAAAGTGCAAAATAAAAGCGAGGCAAAAAAAACATGATCTCTTGGCGCAATCTCCTCTGTCGCGTTGTTGTTTTACTTCGGACATATATATATATATGCTCCTTTTTTTCTGCCACTCTGTGTAATCACTTCTAGTTAAGGATTATGAACGGGGTACGATTTTGCTCACAAAGTAGCAAACGCAAACGTCGCGATCATCGATTTGGTTTTTCATCCTCGTCGAATGAGGTGTGTGTATTCTTCAGCGGAAGTGCGAAGTACGCGCCGCGCGTACGCGCGGTTTTATTGCGCGCAATTGCGACGCAACCTCACGTCGAAGAGTGTAGAAAGTAACGCAGGTTGTTATTATTTCGGAAAAATTCCCCCTCGTGTTTTCTTTTGCAAAGGCGAAACGCCGCGCGTTCTTCCACGTCAACAGTGTTTTGTTTCTTTTTTTTTTTTTTTTTTGAAAATCCGTCTTGCGAGAGCCAAGAGAAACTGCAAGAGAAGTGCGCACAAAGCGTCTCGTGATTTGTCTTAATTGCAAACTTTATTCACGTGAGATGAATTAACTTCGATTGAGTTCTTGTGAAAAATTACAACTCTCTCTCCCACATTCACGAGCTCTCCCCAGTCGCGAAACCGATCAAAACTCTTTGACATCATATTCTAAATTTCCTATCAAACTTATCAACTTTTTTCAGATCACAAAAAGCCACTAATATCTGTGTTACACTATTAATATCTCTTTAATAACCATGTAATTGGTATCGTATTATAGATGTAACTTTTATATCAAATCGCAATTAACGCGACGACGTGATGTGTACGTATGTGTGTGTGTGTGTACGATTTTCTTTTTCTCTCACACAATTATCACACGTTTTATTGCTGGCACTCTATGTTCGCATAATGCGTACACGGCGAGGCTTTACAACGCCACAAATTATATTACTAGATGTTATCGTCGGGTTTATTACATTTACGACCGCACGGTACTCCGTTGTGATAAGAAACAAAATAACAGATACACAATTGCCGAGATATATATTTTACACATTTTTTCTCTCTTTCTCTCTCTCTCTCTGTGTGTCTGTCAAGGATACGGGGATTTGCTTCGCTCCAGGTGCGAACAGGTGGAGTTGTAGCGTCATTAAGACGCGATATAATACCGCAAGCGCGGTATGTGGTTTTTGCTCGTCATTCAGAAAAGGAGCGTAAATCTCTACTCAGAAAAGGTATTTAACATATTCATCGCGCAAAGGATAATCACTTGTGCCGCCACTACTTTCGCATTCGTTCATGTCACGATGTATAAAGCTATGTG